GTCAGTGGCCAGGCTCCCTGTAGACCCACTCATGAACCCACTGGGTGCTCAAGCAACTTTCTGAGGATGGAGCTACCTTTACTGATGAGGATGCAGCCTACAGAGCTTACATAGTGCCAGGACCCCGAGCTGGGGCCTCATGGACAGCCCCCGCAGATCTTGAAATCAAGAGAGAAATGTCTAGAGCTCTCAACTAAAATGGGCAAGAAGAAATGGGAATGGGCGTATATGGAGATGATTGAGAAAAAGAAATAGAAGATGAACAAAGGAAATCCATGTCCACATTTTTTTTAAATGGGAAACAAAATTAGTCACCGTGAGTTTGCTCATTTCTTCTAGCTTAATCAGTAGCAAATGAAGAAAAGCGTGGAGAGGGCATTCGGGAAGGCGGCTATCGAGCCACCTGGGAAACTCCGTGAGGGCAGGCACTTTGTCCTCAGCAAGCCACTAGCACTTGTTCTTAAGGGGGCAAGGTCACTTAGCATCAAGAGGTCCGCTCATTCTCACAGACTGAGCGGAAGCAACAGTGTTGTTGATTCCAAGTCATTCATCAGTCACGAATTGACCATGCGTCCAGAGACAAGAGCCTTCTAGCACTGTGGAGGGGATGAAGCGGGACCGCTCCAGAAGCTGGTTCTCAAGAACGTCAGCAACCTGGCCTCAGTGCCCAGCAGCCCGCTCAGACTCCTTTGTGCTGTTCTCAGCCTCTTCAACCTACTCTTTGTGGTCTTGGCTTCTTCCTAACCATTTGCAAAAAGAAACTACGTCCCAGAAGAGCACATAAAACGAATAAGTACGTGTAGTGTTAATGTAAAGGTTTTATTCAATGTGAGCATGCACAGACTGTAACCGAAGCTTATTTCATAAGCAGCAAACTAAATATTCATTAGCTGGTAGTGTGAAAGTATTTTTAAAAGCCTTTGTGAATCTGAAGTATTTGGGGGAAACCACAAAACGACATTTCACTTAAAGCCTGCTCTGTGTGTGGTTGCTGAGTCGGAATCTATTGCAATGTTTACTACACACACCCTGTGTACTGTCTCCCTAGATATTCTAATTCAGTTGGATTGAGGTGTGATCCAATCATCTGTATTTGAAAGGGATATCATCAGTGATTATTTTTCCCTTAACAGATGGAAAGTGTAATTATGAAATGTGAAATCTCTGGAAGCATTTTAGTGATGTATGTAACTATATGCCAGTGTCATTTTGCTCCATAACACCCATCCTTTGTTTCTTCATGCTTCGGCAAATCTAAACCCTTTCCACCCATGATTGTGTACGTTCTGTAAAGACATTATTATAAATTAGGACATATCCATTTTTAAAAAGTGCAGGAATGTAATGTCAACATTAAAAAAATGACTACTTTATTTAGATTAAAATTTTAAGCTTTTGATCGAAGTCATCTTGAAAAACTTAATTGCAAATACTATGTCTAACTTGAAAAGTCATAAAAGATTGTACTGATGGCTTATCTAATAAGCGTTCTGCCTTACAGCATAGTTTTCTACTAGTAAAAATTATAGAAGGTACTGAATTGCAGTCTAATGAAATCAATACATGACATAACATACCTTATCATATGATTGAACATATGATGTCATACCTTCATATGAATTGAAGTTTACTGAAATTTTATTCCCAAGCACATATGTCAAACTAATATATTTATGACTACTGAATCTAAAAACTTCTTTATATGCAATTTTAATAGTCTTTTCAAATATTAGTTTAAGATGTTTGCTCCCAAACTTTATTGCAAATGAGCATCTTTCAAAAACATGATGAAGTTAAATTGAATTTTACTTAACTAGTCACAAACTTGGGGGATTATTGATGCACTTTGCAAAGCACTGCAATTACTAACCACCCTGAGGTTGGAAACCACAGGTCTAAAGGGATTATGAAAGAGTCCTGGAGAAACCAGGGAGTGCCCCAGCGCATTCCAGCATCTTCCATAAACAGTCATTAAAATACAGTTTATGGAAGGAGTGCAGCAAATCAGCATGCCTGCCAAGGGAATGCTAAGGGACCTGATTTCTTCATCAATGGTGCAAAAGAAAAACTCCAATCTTACCTCAAGGATAGGACTCCAATCGAGGATTGAAGAACTCATGAAAACCATCCCATTTCTCGAGACTGTGGCAGGTGAGGCGTTGTCAATGTTATGAGGTTCAAACACAATCTTGCAGTTGGGAGCCATGGGAATCCGATCACCATTGGCAAGGGTTAGAGTTTTGTTATCATCCAAAACAGAATTCAAGTTTTCAATCCAGATGGCATCTACTGGACCGTCAAGAACGATCCAGATATGTTCTCCTAGAATATTCATCAAAGAGGCATGGGCAGTGGACACACATACAGGTGCATACATGTAATGTTGAGCTTGAAGAAGTGTGATAATGTGCAGTCATTTTCATTATTTATGCTTAAAGAAAGCTGTCCTCTAACTGATTTTCTCATTGTATCACTAAGGGCTTTTCCAGTTCCTCACATGGAAGTTGGTTAAATTCCACAGACAAATAAAAAAAAAAATCATTCGCTTATGAAGGACATCTTCTAGTGTCAGCACTCGTCCATGGACAACAGACGTTGTGGGAAATAAGACAGTGTCCTGCCTTCCCAGATCTTACATTCTAATCAAATAAACCATAAGGGAAGAGTAAGTGAGCAGAATAAGAGGGTCAGGAACTCTTCTAGACTAGGTGGCCAGTGAAATCTTTCAAGAGAGAATGAAGTGACGTGAAGGTCTAGAGGCAGGGTCTTCTAGGCGGTGAGAACAGAAGTCGAAGGTCCCAATGTGGTCCTAGCTTAAAATATCGTGTTCCAGCAGCAGCAAGAAGTTGAACCCAGTTAACAAGAGCAGGGGAGAAAATGAGGGTGGGAGTGGGAGAAAGACTAATACTGGATGTTGTGACCTTTATGTGGAATACAGAGCAGCCACACAAAAGGCCAGGAAATGCCAAACAAAGAACTAACCCTCAAGGCTGACTACAGTAAGGCGGGAAGGAGCAGCGTGCACCTTTGGGAGGGCTTCGGGCACCGTTGTGGGTGCGTAGGGGAGATGCTATACTCTGAATAGGACTGGATTACAGTGGGTACAAATAATGATGGAACCCAATGTCTTAGCCAAATAATAACAATAATAATAATAATAATAAAACAACCTTTTTAAAACAGAAACACTGGCAGAATGAGACAGACAGGGCCCTGGAGTCAATTCTGGACTGGACCTAAGTTTCAAGAACAGACACCCCATAGTTCTGAGGAGTTGGGAATTCCAGAGAGAGGGGGCCTGGAGATGAAACTGTGCAAGTCGTCAGCTTAGAAATAGTATCATAAGACATGAACTAAAGGAGCTTCTTCTACATGGTAGGTGTTGACAGAGATGAGAGGTGTGAGGGCAACACTCAGAACAGAGACTTCCAGACACTTCCACTGAAGGAAGTAGAAGCAGGCAGCAGGTAAGGTCTCCCTGAAGCTAAGGGGCAAGAGATTCAAGGAAGAGGAGCGATCACCTTAGCCATCTGCTGCTGAGGGCAGGGACTGAGAAGTGATGATTAGTAGTTGACGAGCCCAAAGTGACCAGCTTGCCAGCGTCCTTAAAAGAACATCAGGCACAAAACAACGGGCACCAATTTGGGGCCAAAGAAGGTGACAAACATTACAGAAGGCTCACAGCTCCACCCTGTAGGTGAGGCATCGTGACCCAGCTCCTCTGGGTTTCCCACACACGCTTCCCTCACTCACCGCCACCCTGCCCAAGTGCGTAGTTCTAACTCACATTTATCACGTAAGAGCTGTGGCAAATTCTAGGTCAGATAAAATATTTTGAAAAGCCTAAATTCGCTCACTGAGCGAGGCTTCAATAAAGTGATGATTGATTGCTGGATCCATGATGAGGGAAAAAGCGTGTGTTGACTATTTTAAGAAGAAAAAGCACCTCATAAGCACCTTTTCTTTGAGGCAACATTGATAGCCCTGGTGACTCAGGATGGTGGGGACAGACTGAAATAAAGTGGGATTTCTCTGCAGAAATAAACAACAGGTTTTAATATGGGAAAGGAAGCGGTTCATTTCTGTTTGATAACGAAGGTCAGGGCTGTTCTGCCATCCCTTGAAAGAGATTTCCAACGGCACCCCTATATTTTCATCAGCACACAGTGATTACAACACACTCATGGAAACAGGACAAATAGCTTGTCTTTCTCCTCTGTCCTTCCTCCAGTTGCATTCACTGTGCCTTTCTCTTGCCCATTCAGGAGTGGGAAAACAGGAGAAGACGCTTCCCACCTAAGCTAACATTCTGGGAACACATCACTCAATTTATAGCACCTTTACGTGCAAGCATATTCAGAGTGAACCACACCCTTAACAAGTCTGTTTACACAATAACCAAACACCAGGATCTAAACAGAGTGATTTGCTAGTTTGATACAGGCTCATTTTGGTAGATACAATTTTCTTCCAAAGAACCTTATCTTCTGTGATTTCATAAGAGAATCAGATTTTTTTAAGATAGGTTATCCTTCAATAAGAGTTACATTCTAAAAGGATTCAGTGGAAATAGTTATGATAAAATCGCCTTATTTGATACTACCATTTTCCTTAACAGCATTCCCACCTATTTTATTCTAAGGTGCCAGAAGCATACAGAAATACTTTTTCAAAAGGAGACTAATTCTCTTTCTAACCAAAATGGAGGGAGGGGAAGGTTATATATACTCATCAACAATTTCAATATTTTTGACATTCACATATATCCTACGGATTTAGGATTTCTTAAAGACAATATATGAAGATTACCGTTGCTCTACTGATTCTGAAAATTCATCAAGGATTTTATTAGTAATTCACATCAAAAATAATACTTGTGACTCATCTACCTTTCTTGGCCCTCAGTGTTTTCCTCCAAAGCGTAGAAAATATTCCATCGGTCCAGTCATTCGTGGACACGTCAAGCCGACCGAACATCTGTGGGGCTGTGATTGCCTTGGGATTCATCCTCATTTCCCGATGTGGTTTTCCGCAATCTGTACCAAGAAAATCCACATTTTAAACAACTCAAGGAGAGAGAAGTACCATCAGGGTAACAAACACTAATTGGCGATCTGCTGTCAGCAGGTGCTCAAAATATGAAAAATGCAAAGTTCCATTAAAAATAAATGTCTTGCTGCATTCCAAGTTAACATCATTAGCCTCATTATATTTTATTGACCAAAGCATTTTTTTTTCTCTTTGTAAAAAAACCCCTGTATGTTATATAAGGGGAGAAAAAGGATACCAGGCTGAAACTGATGAAGGAATTAATGTTTTCCAGAGTTCTTCAAATGCCACAACTCACAAATCTCTTGCTGAACTATTTTAAATGCCAAAGCTGATATGCTGTTCCCTTCTCTCCATTATCCACTTTGACCTGCTGAGACATGTTCTTGGAAAAAAGTAAATTCAGCTAATGATGCAGGAATCAAGGACTTTTGTGTGTGGCCAGCTTCAGGAAGGGATTTGACTCTTTCAAGCCCTAAAGCTACTCTTAAATGGTTTGGATTCCGTAGGCAAGGAATCATGGTTAATAAATAGTTAAGTGAAGCATGTGGGTTAAAGTATAAGATCATAAAATGTGATGGGAGTGTTACCTAATGAGTGAAAGGTGAATGAATACAGCCACACACATGTGTGAGCACTATGAAAACTTGTCACAGTCAAGCCGGTTCAGAAAATTAGTCCATAGCTCTCTGTTTCCAGAACCACTGACAGGGCTTCCCTGATGGTGGAACCGGTGAAAGTGCAGCACTATGAAGCTGTCCGCAGCCACTACAGCATAAGTTCAATCCCTAGCGAGGGAACTGACCCACATGGCGTGGCAGACCTGTCCTGTCTCCCCACTGCTCCCCACAGCAGTGGATTTCAGTCAATCTGCCTGTTCTGCTGCCCACTGTCTCTGGTAAATATTCTACCTCCTGAACCTCCATTCTTATATAACAAATAAATAAATCTTTTTTTAATCACAGATAAAATCATGGTAATTTTTGAAATCTTCGATGGTGCAGAAATTCAACATAACAGTCACATTTCAGCTTTTCCAATAAAATCTTTAGCTCTGCTCACAGCACAGCGCTCCCGACCTCTTCAGAGCAACCCATGTTGACTTACAAGCACCATCTCCCTGCCACAATGCAAGCTCCTGACAGACGTGGCTATTTTTCCAGACCTACTTCCCCATTCCCAGCACAGGGCCCAGAAGAACCTCCAAGGAACAGAGCATCAAAGAAACTCTTGATGGACAAATCCATGAGGTGAAGGGAGTGAAAATTCACATGGATCTAATAGAAGTTCAATCTAATTACCTTCTTGATCTTTTGGATAATTACTTTTCAACAAGGAACAATGTGTTACTCAAGATAACAGATATTTGTCCTACACACTAAAACCAAGAGCAAGTTAATAAACAGCAACTAGTTTAATGATGACTTGTCTCTGCGAAAACTAAATGCACCCAGGTCGTGGGTCCCCAGCTCGGACACACTCCACACGATGGATCTGATCGTGGAACATTCTCACTCATTTTGCAGGTCATTGTACCTGTGTATTTGTAGCTGACTGTCACAAAGGGCACCTTGAGAACAACAACATTAACATAATGGACTCTTTGAGCAGTGAGAAGGGACATTCGGTTGTTTGTTACAAGCAGGGGAACATAAGGGCTTAACGCTAAGTGAAGCTAGTCAGAGGAACGAAACACTGTGTGTTGCCATCTAAGGTCAAAGTCAGGCCCTCGCTGGTGGCACAGTGGGTTAAAGCACGAGTTCGATCCCCGGCCAGGGAGTGACCCACATGGCGCGGCAGACCTCTCCTGTCTCTCCGCTGCTCCCCTCAGCTGTGTGTTTCATCCATCTGCCTGTTCTGCTCCCCACTCTGTCTCCGATGAAACCTCTCACTCTCTACACCTCTGGCCTGTTCCCCAGTACTTGTATGTATAAATAAATAAATCTTTAAAAAATAGAAAGGTCAAAGTCAGAGAAAAAGAAAGTGACGCTGGTGATGATGAGGGATTCGAGGAGTGGGGGCGGTGAAGATGTTTCCCAAAAAAATACAAATACCTAATGAATAAGTGTGAGGGTCTAATCACAGCATGGCCATTCTAGCTAATAATGATGCCTCACATACTTGAATGTTGCTCAGAGATGAAAGCTTAAATGTTCTCATCACAGAAGAAAAGGTAATGAAAAGGTAACCCTGAGGCAGGCCGGAGAGGTGGTGATCACTGCCCAGCTTACAATGTGTCAAACCAGCACGCGCAGGCATCAGACTCATGCCAGTTCCTGGGTCAATTGTAGCTCAATAAAGTTAAAGACGTTTTCTCCCTCTGGTCCATTAATGTCATATGTTATCTCTAACATGTGTCCAATAATCAATCAAGCCACATTTATCCTGTAAAAAATATATTAGTGCAACTACATCTGTGTCACAGTTGCTGAAGTGGGTCACCCCCAGGAACAGCTAAGCTGCGGCTACCTGTCATGGCTTTCATCAAGGTGTGGATGCACGTGGTTTTCCCTGCTCCACTGGGCCCCAAGGTCATTATGCCGTGCCGCACTCTCTGAGTTTCAAACAGCTGGATGACTTTCAATTTCCAAGGAGGGTGGTTGATTAAACCAGCTTCTTCAACCTGAAAATTACACACGCAAATACTCACACTGGCCCACATCAACCATACTTGAACTTACCATTGTGCTCAAAATGAACACGGACATGTAGAGTGGGGAGTAAAGGAAGGGAGTTCTGGTTTAATGGGTGTGCATATCAGTCAGGGTGTGTAGTATCAGTGTGGGAGTGCCATATCAGTCTGGGAAAATGGAGACATTCTGAAGATATCTGCCACTGATGTCTGCATAAAAATGGGAATATAATGCCCTGAACTATACAGTTTAAAATAGTTAAAATGGTAAATTTTATGTGGTACATTTTATGTGGCATTTTTTATAACATAAAATTAATTGCTTTAATTACTTTTAAAAGTACATATACATAGGCCCTCCCTGGTGGTGCAGCGGGTTAAAGCACAGCACTGAGAATCTAAAGCCACTTCCGCATGAGTTCGATTCCCGCCTGCCCCGGAGGTGACCACATGGCGCGGCAGACCTCTCCTGACCCACCCGCTGCTCCCCTCAGCAGTGTACTTCCTCGATCTGCCTGTCCCCACTCTGTCTCTGGTGAGGCCTCTTGCCGCCCCTGAGCCTCTGGCCTGTACCCCAGTTCTGTATGTACAAATAAATAAATCTTAAAAAAAAAAAAAAAGACCAATAAAATAAAAAAAGAACCGACAAAACCGAAAAATTTCTCAACCTTATTAAAAACAACCGCAACCGGCCTGGGGAAACGAAATCAATTTAAAATAAAAAAGTAATGAAAAAACAAAAAAAGAACAAAATAAAAACAAAAACCCAAGGCAAGGGCCCGGGAAAAACAACTGGCCAAAAAAAAAGATGAAATCTGCTTATGGACTATGAAGGAAAGCAAGCAAACAAATGAAGCAGGAACAAACCCTTCAACTCTAGCAAGAGAATGGTGCTACGGGGGGTGGGGGAGGAAGAGGGAACAGGTACCGGGGGCTCATTGTGGGTGGTGGGTGGTGACTGGCTATTTCACGATGGGGATATGAAGAAATCTCAGTCCCCAGGTCACATTCTCAACTACCATTATGCTCAAACCCACTGTAAGTAACTTTTTTGTTTAACAAAATAATTTTGGACCATAATCACATATCACTTTATGCTCATTGTTTGCTCCCTAGATTTTTTACATACCACAATCTGGTAATGTAAATGGCCTTATAAATTACTTTGTATTTAGCTTTTGAGGCAATGCTATAATTAATTCAGTCATGATAAATAAAGCATTCGCAAAATGAATTAGCATACTTGATCATGAAGGATATTAGGAGTTTTCTATACTGATTTTTTAAGCACAATGTTCACTGAATATTTGGCTTTTATTAAAAATATCTTCAAGAATTCGAATGTATTTCATAAATATGAGCTAATCACAACTTCCATAAAGTATTTTTTTCAAACTCTTTTCATAGGAAATCAAATTGAGACAAGGTTCGCATGACTCATTTCCATTCCGGGGAAGATTATTCAAAAGTAAAGTTAACCAAACACCATGGATAACTCAGATGATACGCACGGTGGGGTGGACCCTCGGAGCCCAAGGAAGAAATCGTAAGAGATCCCAGACCCAGAGTGATGTGTGAGGAGCCCTTGGAAACACAAACAACTGACATGCCGAGACAGGAGCCTGGAGAACACAGCCGAGTGGCAAACCCCAAGAACACCGCCGGAGCCCCGCCTTCAGCCCTACCATGCATGCAGCGTTTCGGAGCTGGCATGGGTCTGGAACTGGGCCAGAACACATGGGCAATGGGATGGCATCTGCACCGTGGTCAGAGACCTCCTGGCAGAAGAGCTTCATTGGCGCAGGGGAGGGGGCAGGAGAGGTAGGTCTCTGCAAGTGGGAGGTGCAGCCTCAGCTTTGTTCTCAGAACCCACAGATTTGGGCCACAGCAGGCTACGTGAGTCCCACTAAGTGCAGCTGAATCTGGCCACACACTGTGCCTTGCGACATATTATTACCTTTCTACTAATTGCCATCTCCAGTTCAGGATAGCCTGCCTTGTCCAGCAGAATATTTGGGAAGAGGTCTTCAATCAAACTCAAAAATAAAGGTTCATCCTCATCAATCTATAAAGGAAAGGAAAATTAGACCACCGATCTGGTACAAAGCATTTCACAGAGAGACTGCCAATACCCAACACAGGCTGTTGTTTAATCATTACCTTTCACAAACAAATTGGCGCTTTCAGTGAAGTTGAGTGATATCTACCTAAAATTTTCATAAATTAAATTTATTTAGGAGGAAAAGCAGGGGAAGAAAAGGAAGGGAAAATACCTCCTACATGTTCACCTTTCCACAAAATAGCCACTTTAGGTAACTGCTACAGAGTCTAATTAAATTTCTTTAATTTTTTTTGAAGACTTTATTTATTTATGCATACAGAACTGGGATACAGATCTTCAATCAAACAGAGGCGGTGAGAGGATTCACCAGAGACAGAGTGGGGAGCAGAGCAGGCAGATCAATGAAGTACACTGATGAGGGGAGCAGCAGGCGGGTCAGGAGAGGACTGCTGCACCCTGTGGGTCACCCCTGGGGCCAAGGATCGAACTCGCACTGAAGCGGCCCCGGCCAGCTTCACAGTCTGCGTCCCAACCCACTGAGCCACCAGGAAGGGCCCTTAAATTTCTAATTAAAGTTAAAAGGATGTTTTTAAATGAGATCATAGAAATTCATAAATTGGAATTAACTTCATAATTTTATTTGGAAATAAAAATATATCATTCTGTCACCCTGTACAAGATCAACTGATAGCAGAAATCAGTGATCAGTCTGCTGTAAAATAAGAGATTGTAAAATGATTCATGCAGAGAGAATTATATACAATTTCCTGCCAAGACTGACAGACTTTTCTTTTTTTTAAGATTTATTTATTCATGCATACAGAACTGGGGTATAAGCCAGAGGTGCAGAGGCGGTGAGAAGCTTCACCAGAGACAGAGCGGGGAGCAGAACAGGAGGATCCACTGAAGTACACTGCTGAGGGAGCAGCGGGTGGGTCAGGAGAGGTCTGCAGCGCCATGTGGGTCACCTCCGGGGCGGGGGTCAAACACACACTGAAGCAGCTGAAGCCAGCCTGCAGTGCTGCATCCTAACCTGTTGCACCAGCAGGGAGGGCCAGATGGACAGACTTTTAAAAAAGAAGTTTTCATTCTAAAACATGAAAATAATTCAAGGTCTTTGGAAACTTACTGTGTGTATTTCTTTATACCCATTCAATTCTGCCGGAATAGGTATATTTAGATGAGCTATGTCACCTCAGTAATAACTTCAGAAAAAGCACAATCTAGAATTATGGTCTCCTGCACTTTATCTGAAGGCAGGGTTTTTGCAAAAAAAAAAAAAAACAAAAACATCTTAACTAAATATTGCCAAACGTAAGTCATCCGGTTAGTGGCACTGATACTTGAGTGGAGAAACATCCAAACTGTGCATCTCACCAGTTTCGAAAGATTCATGTCCCGTAGCACACGCATCACGATGGTGGACTCTGTGTCTGTGGGGCTCGCTCTTTTGGCTGCCCCCAGCGTCCGCAGAACGGATAGGATGTTACGCAGCCCGAAGTCATAATGCACCTGCAGGAGTTGAGGTTCAACCAGTTACTTTCCACATGAACCTATCCATGGAGACTGTAAATGCAGCAGAAAACCAATTTGCAGTCATGAATAAATACCGATTTGCCTTTCGAAAACCTGTACAGTGAGTGGAACCGTCAGTTTTTTGATCAATATTATATTTAAGCAGATAGAACATATTCAAGAGTCCTCTGGTCGTACCATCGTCCTCTGGTCATCCAACAAAGCCCTGAGCTCAGAGCTAGCAGACTACGTGGGGAGGCAGGAATAGACATCCTTAGGGAGCACAGATGTCCTCGCGAGTCTCCTTTATTTATTGAAGGTGTGTTACTTTTTGTCATTTATATTTTGAGGACATAGGATCCTCCCCCTCAGATGTCAGGACCAGTCTGGTCCCTTCACAAAGCACCCACAACCCACTGTGCCCCCCACCCCACTTTGTTCTCACCTCTTCCCCTGCTCTTTCTCTCTGGAAGCCTCATTTCTATAGTCAGCTCTCAAGGGTTAGTTTTCAGTTGGGCTTTATCTGACACTTTGACTGGCTTCTTATACCTGTACATGACACTAGCCAGCAATGACCTCTTAACCATGCCTAAGAAAGCATCTTCACGTCTCTAAAGCTAAAATTCAGAACCAGAATTAAACTGAGACTTCGCTTGTGATGATTATCTACAGGGAGAGAGGGCGTTAGTGATGACGAAGAAGAGTAGCTACATTCCCTTACATGCACAGAAGTCTAACCATGCCAGATTTAACACATCTACATCGAGAAATTAAAAACCAATTCTCCGGCTACTGGGGAAGACGATATGGCAGTGAAAAATAGAGCTACCTTTTGTGATGATACAGGTTGCTACTATTCGTCAATAAGGTGCCTTTGTCAAGCATCCCTGGTCTACAACATTTCAAAATGAGAAACTTACACTGAAGAAAAAAACTGAAACATGGTGAAGTACAAGACCTTCAAGCTTCACAAGCTTCATACCTGCTTAGACAGCTGCTCCTCACACAACTTGTAAAGCGTGAAAAACTTCCTGGCCAGAACAATGTTATCGATGAAGCCGCAGCTGGCCAGCTTCACCCTGATGATGATCTGCCGGTCGGGGACCATCATGGCCACAGAGCGGAAGTTAATCTTTAAATTTTCAGGGAGCTCCTGCCGCCCAGCATAGCCAGGATTCTACACAGAACATAAAACCTCCGGATAAACAGCACGGTCGTGGGGCAGCCACACGCATCAGCATGTTATGACTGGAATATTCATTCTGCCCTCAACACACCTGGAGTGACAGAGAAGCAACTCCGACAGCTCCCACTCCCTGAACCAGGGAGCTAGGCCACAAGCTGCTTCTCTGAGCTCTGTTCAGCACCGAAGTCTCTTTTTCTTTAATATTAAATAATAATTTCATGCATTCATTTTTCAACCTGTTTATTCCAGTTCAGCATAAGTGACAGCTATGTCAGCAGCTCAGAGCACAAAGCGGAGACCAGTTCCCATCACAGGACTAGAGCTCCCTGTCTCTGCTGTCTGCCTGCCTATCTATTATCTATCTCTGGCTCCCTGTCTGTCTCTATCTGTCTGTCTGACTGTCTGTCTATCTATCTATTATCTATCTCTCTCTGGCTCCCTGTCTGTCTCTGTCTATCTGTCTGTCTGTCTGTCTATTTATCTCTGGCTCCCTGTCTGTCTCTGTCTATCTGTCTGTCCGACTGTCTGTCTATCTATCTATTATCTATCTCTCTCTGGCTCCCTGTCT